ACTGTAGAAAACTACCTTAGACAGTAAAGAAACACATACATTTTTTTTGAATTTCTTACCCACCTAGTTTTAAAGTAATAGTAATTAAAAAAGTGCTCTTGGCTTGACTTTAGAAGATAACCAAGTAAGTATCACGTATGGAGCAACGTCACAGGATCACATTAGTACAAGTAGATGGATGTTTATGTTTATAAACGTATAAGTGTACGCAAAGGCACCCACATTTCTCTCAAATATTTTGAATACGGTGTGATATTTAAACAAAATCTTAGTATGGTATATCTACATATACTATTTACCAATATATAATAAAACAACTACCTTAAGTGAATGGTGATAAAGAACAAATTGCTCGACATCAGACTTCTCCTAGTTAGATAAACAGCAATAAATAGCAGAATGCTAGATATCACTTTTTTTTCTTAAGAATACGGTAATAAGTGCTGTCTTTGAGGATAAGTATAGCACATGTGTTATAGAACAATAACAAACTTATGTAATTATATGGTAAGTTTATTAATGCTTAACACTACAAAACGGCTTGGTACGCCTGACACATGAAGAGTCACGTAGCCGCGTAGTCTAGCTACACTCGACGACGCTCTAATCGACAAGTTGGTTTTACAATTTGATCAGTATGACGCTTTTCACTTTTTGCCTGTCACATCTGTTATTAAAAACGTCGATGGTGATAATTGATTTGTTATATTTATCTGGACACGGCGCACAGTGGGGCAAATCGCCAAAAAGCTGGCCAAAATTCAATTTGTTAAGTTTCGAATTTGCACATTTTTGTGATATTTACTTATTCTTGATGCTCGAGATCATATAAATCAGTAAAAATCATGATGCAAAAAAATTTATTTTCAGCGTACGCAGCATCCAAGTAAGTGAGTTTTTTTATTTTTCGAATTTTCTCGATTTTTTGTATGATTTATGTTTCTTAAATTAATTGTAAGACTTTTTTGGCCTAAATTAGCCATTAATTTTTTTTTTTTTTATAATAACAAATATAATACAAAGAGTCAAGTTTTTTATGGACTGATGGAAATTAATAAATCCTTAGATATTTAATTACATTTTTAAGAAATTGTTACGTAGGAAAGATATTGGTAAGGAGGTACTTCGCAAAAATGATCAACACTTATTATTTCAAGGACCTTTATTCAAGATACCGTAATCATAGGCAAGAAAGCACGTGTGTTTCCTTCACAGGCTTGTTATGTACTCCCTGCATAGACTCTCTACATGCTCACACTTCCCTTCCCTTGGCCTTAGGGCCTCTCGTTATGATGTTTGAGGAGAGGGAGCATAGAGTCTCACCTATACTATCGTTCGTTACACGTGCAAGGCCACGACGTTGTTGTCCTCGACGACGCTGACTTTTTAATTTATATAGTGTTGAGTCTGTATACCTGTTTGCGACTATGTGTGTGTGTGTGTGTGTGTGTGTGTGTGTGTGTGTGTGTGTGTGTTGTATTAAGTTGTCTGTGTTGTTTATGTAGCTAAGTCTTTCACACTCATCCTTCCATTCAACTGTAAGGAACCGCTGTTGTTTTTACAATAATATTCTTGCTCTTTTAATTATTCCATTTCTTCTCATCGTGTGTCAAGTGTGTAACAGTATTGTTTGTGTACATGCTTTGCCTTGTATTACAATCATGTACAAAATTGCCGTGAGGTGGGCATTTGCTTAATACAACTTTACATAAAAACTTGTTTTACAATGTAATTTCCATTTTTACTTTCGCATGTGTTTAATGACAAAAAAAAATTTCGTACAAACGTCTTATTATAGTATTCAAGTGAACAAAAAAAGAATCTTTTTGGATCTTGTCCTATGGAGTGTGCTCCCCAGAGCAGTCAAGCAACGCCCGGCGCTCATATTCGTCCACATTCTTATCATGATTATTATGAGTATTATAGCTACAATTTCCTTTTTTTGTGTTTCACTTTATTTTATTTAATTTTTTTTCGATAGACCTTAACATAGCCCTCTCGCTGTTACATATTTTAGGAAGAGAAAAAAAGATTCTTTATACGTATCGTTCTACGTACTGCGCCCTCCGATATAGTCGAGCGACTCCTGGCGCTCATTTCCGTTCGCTTATTATTGCTATTATTCTTTTAATTATTATTATCATTATTACAGCTATAACTACCAAATTTTTTTTTTTTTTTTTTTTTTTTTTTTTTTTTTTACTTACACTCAAAATGACTTTTTTCGATACTACATACTCTAAAAAAACAAAAAGTTCTTTCTTAGTTTTATCATTTGGACTGCGCCCCCCGATGAAGTCGAGCAACTCCCGGCGCTTATCGTCGAGGCTCACGAATCTTAATTTTGTGTCATGGCCAACGGGAATTCTAGTGTTCGTATAGAGGGTTACAGTCATCTTTCTGCTTCGAACTCTACTGTTGGCGCAATTTCGATTACTGCTAATTCTTGAGCTTTCTCTTAAGCTCTTTGTTTACCTGTAAACATTCTATAACATATTAGTCGTAGGGCCTCCTGATGGAGAAGGCTTATGCATAAGAAAAAGAAGCCCCATGCCGAATTTATTAACCCTGTAATATAATATATAAAGCTGTTAGCTATTAATTGCCAACCCTGGTTTCTGTGGTAAATACTTGTTCTTACACTGCTTATATCCCATTGATAGGTATTTATTTAAGTGTATTACCGAATGTACCTTACCCTTTCTCTTACATTTTCCCTTCATGCTTTAAGCTGCTAGTGTGGCTCTCTCCTTACATATAAAGTTTATGATAATGAACGTATTTTTTTTTATAAATTATCCTGTTTTTCATCTTGGACAAATATTATTGCCGACTTATTACTTTTATTTATGTAAGTACTTTTTTTACGTTAAAAAATTTTCTATCGAAAATACGTTTTTTTTTCGTTGTCATTACTTATTTCACATTAGCTCTACGTGTGCGCATGAGTCGGTTACTCAGTATGTAAATGGTCAGTTATAATATTGTGAGCCCCATCTTGCCTACGAAGTCATATAACATATTCGATAAGACTGTATAGTCAGATAATTTGACGATCGGTTACCCTACATTTGACTTGTATTTTAGTAGCGATGAGCTTGGAGGTATGAATCTAAAAAGAATCGTTATACGGCCATGCATTTGGAATTTACATTTAGACCTGTGTCATACATTTTTGTAGCATTTTTTATCCTTACATTTTCTGATACTATGTTTTTTTTGCTACTCCCTCTTTCTTTTCTCTAATATAATAAGGTTTAGGATAGGGATTATATGGATATTTCATGTTTGCTTTTACTGTTACTGCCGCGCCGTAGACGCATTTGCTGATTTCGTTCATTGCTCTTCCGCTGCTTTTCCCTTCAAAATTAAGACTTCTATTTTTTCTTTTTTTTTCTTGTGCTCTCGAAAGACAGTGCACTTTTTAGAGTATTCGCGCCGTTGTCTAAGTTTCCGGAGCTAACCTTCGACCCTGCTCATGTGACAACAGGATTTTTTGCACCACGAGAATCTCTGTGTGCTGTCATCACGGACACAATTCTGAAGGAGCATTCTGCGGCTTTGATGATTACAAGCATTCTTGCTTTTTCTTTTTTTTTTTTTTTTTTGGTTGTTGTAGATCTCTATGCCTTCTTTCCAGTATTGACGCAACTGTTCGAACGTGGGGTGGGCTGGTAAAATGGTATTGTTGTCCCAGAGGTGTTCCAGGATCCAACGAGTTCTCTCCAGCTGTCCTTGTACATCCAAGTCCTGAGGGAACACTGCCACACGCTGGGTGGGATTAATTGTTCCTTTTGAGGCGGATGATCCGACGAACAGGCTGTTCGTTATTTTACACATGGCAGTTTATTTTATATCTCATGACGATTATGTGTGACATTTCAGGTGTTGTTATTATCAGCATATCATGATGGTAGGAGTGGGATTGTTCTGATGGGGAACGACAGAAGGAAGGAATAAGAGAAGGTTCAATCTCTCATACTCGACGTGGGCTCATGGGCCTTTTCAAAAAATAGTCTTATTTTTCCTGAAATCGCTTCATTTATTTTTTATTATTCCTCCATGCTCCTTTCTATCTAACAATGATTGCTAAACTTTTTTTTTTTTTTTTTTATATGGTAATAAAGTCAATCGGGTATTAAAGAAAATTGCTATTTTTTTATTCTTATGTTTGTTTGCTATTTTCACATACACTCTTCTTCGTATAGTTCTCGCATAAAACTATTTTAATTTACAAGTATATGTCAGCCTATACGTATATTTTTCCCTTTTTATTTGCTTTACCATCTATAATTTGTACATTTGGCCTAAAAGTTAATTCTACTCCTATAAAGTACGTCTACTCACTAGAGAGTGCCACACGCGCCCCTCATTTGCATTGCTTTTTTTCACTCACGTTATATTAAATCACTATTGATTGATGTTATTAATGCTTTGTTGATGCGTACCTCCTCATTATAGTTGTTGTTGTTTTTTTTTGTAAATCTAAGTCTAACGTATATAAATATCTAGTTCATGGCACGTCCGGGGCCGCGAAAAAAAAGTTTCATCGTAAACCTAATTAATCCCTCTCTTCTTGTCGTGATTTTGCGATGCGTCCGGGGGCCACGACAAAAATTTCACGTACAATCAGATATTTGAGGAGGTTCTTTTGTTTGCCTTATCCTGTTTGGATTCTCTGGCAAGACTCTTATTACGCATGCTTTTTTGATTTTATCTACGTGGGATACTCTTATTTCGTCACCTCTCTGTAGTTTTACATTTTTGTTGATGTAATTGATTTCTGTTATTTCATACGGATCATCGTATTGTGAATCATATTTTTCTTTTGATAGCTCTTTAAGCACATAAACCATTTCTCCCTCTAGGAAATATCTTGTATTCAGTTGGTGGTCATAGTAATACTTTGATCGGTATTTAGCCTGAACTAAGTTCATTGCTGCGATAGTTCTTATCCCTGTCAGGGTTTCAACTAACTCTTTAAAATATTTATCCAAAGCTTATCCCTTAGGTGACAGTCTAATACTAGATGGTGTTCTAGCTCTTTGTCCGAAAACTAATTCGTGCGGTGAGTATCCCGTACTTTGATGATCTATTGTGTTGTATGAGTGCACGCACATCGGTAAATATTCGTCCCAGTGATCATTTTGTTCTACATATGCCTTGATGTATTCCGTAAGAGTATGGTGCATTCTTCCAGTGGTACCGTTTCTTTGTGAATGGAAGGCTGTGCTGCCCATTTTGTCTATCCTGAATAGCCTTGCAAATTTGGCCATGCTCTTATTTATAAAGTGTGTGCCTTGGTCCGATAATAAATGTTCTGGCAGCCCAAAGTACACTATAAACCTATCTGTTATCGCTCTCACCATTTCTTTGCCTGTTGCTCTCTTCACAGATACGAGAACTATACATTTTGATAGCCAGTATTGTATAGATAAATAATGTGTATACTGATTGGCTAAGGGTTTACTGATGGGCCCGTAGAAGTCCATAGAAATTTTTTCAAACGGTCTACTTAGTCTGTTGGTGACGAGCATGGCTTGTTTTGTTTTAATTCGGACAAGTTTTTTTGTTTGGCATAATGTGCATCCCAAGATGACTTGTCTTACATCTGGGTGCATGTTTCTCCAGTAGTAGCCATTGGCGATCCTGTTATGCGTCTCATTCATTCCCCTATATCCGCCTATTGCCGCCTCGTGGTATTTTCTGATAATTTTTAATCTTTGATCTGCTGGTAGGATTACCAGAGTGTTCGTGTAGAAGACTGCTGCTAGTCTAATATCTTTGAATATATCCTCAAAGGTATCGACAAAGTATCCCCACTGGATAAGATTGAGCATTGCTAGATCCCTAACTATACCAATCGTTTTTATTTCATTTGCTATTACTACTTCTTTACGGGCCTTAATATACTTTTTAATGTTTGACTTAAGTGCCGTTTCTTCAAAGTGCACCTTTACATACACATGCATAGTTTTTATTCTCCTTGTATTTATTATTTTGACTTCTCCTGCGCTTCTTTCTTCGTTATTCATACGTGTCAGAATCTATCACCTCTGTGTTAGGTACCATCTCTGTTATTGTCATAAACGCTAGATTATATAAGTACTTAAATAGTTGATCCTCAATCCTATTTAGTTCTTGCAATAGGGGTGGATCTTAACCCTCTTTTGGTGTTTATGGTGGCCTTGCCGTTGGTGGGCGTGTTTTGCACACTCTATATTTTTTCATTGATGGTGAGTGTATGACTGTGTTGGCTTCGTCCTCGCTCTCTGTTTCGCATAGCGCGTCATTCAACTCGTCGGCTTGCTCTCCTTCTCCCTATACTGTACTTTCATTGCTGTCATCGTCGCTGTTTCTTTGCTGTCTGTTCTCTCCCTGTTTTTCCGTATGCTTACTTGTATCCGCTGCACTTTTGGAAGTGTCTTGCTCCTTTTCTGAATGACTTTTGTCCTCCTTCCCTCGCTTGCCTCTGTCTCTTGTCTAGTTTGGACCCATAATTACGTTCCTTACTTTTTTCACTACTGCTACGGTCTTTTTGTGGGCTCTCTACCCCTGACTCAAGTTCCGTATTTATCGCGCTAGGAACTTGTATTAGAGGCGTATGATGTGCATTTTAACCTACACCTTCTAGTTGTATATCGCTAAATTCATCGTCTGTCATAGCAATGTAATAAGAGTAAATATAACTTTTATTGGCCAATCACTGTTCTCATACGTTGTTTGTGACTCAAAAATTTCCTTTGTTTTTTCCGGCTCTCTGCATTTTTTTAGTAAATAAGAATTGCGCAGAATTGTTCGTAACTCAGTAGTTGAGATGCCGAGTTTTTACAACCATATAAGGCTGTGAAACAAGCAGTTTCCGGGTGGGTCGAATGGTATTTCCAATATTTTTTTCAGAGTACTACCAGGTTGTGTGCAAATACAAGTTTCTCTTCACGTTTCGTCTTTTAAATATTCGAGCCATTTATCTGGGGGTGCGACGTCTGAGTGATCATTGCGTTCGTCTTGTACCGCGTTCTCACTTTCCTCCAACTGGACCATGTTCACCCCGTTATGTGTGTTGTTGTTTTCGTCTTTTGACGTATGTAACGCTGCTTACTCTGTTGTTATTATCTCACTAGGTTTCCATATATATATCCTCATTCTTGGTCTGCCTTCTACGTCTCGCTTTTTAATGTCTATTATTACTAGAGCCCGTAGTTCGTGGGACCCTCCCTCCTGTATGTCATGTGTATTTGGCTCTTCCTGTTTGTCTGTTAAAAATTCCTTGGCTTGATTCGTGCTTCCTTCTTTTTTTCTTATATCAGTTATTTGCTCTTCTGTCATTAACTCTTCATTTTAAGTTGCAACGCTAGGTAGTGGTATGTCACAATTCGCTATTATTATTTCTTTTGACGGGTTCGTCGTCGGTTGCGTGGCTGAAAAACGTTGTTTGTTTCTGTGCAAAGTGTCAAGTTGTCGTTCACGTGCTTTCTGTAATTTATCTTTTTGTTTTAATATTGCTGGTGCTCTTGTAGTAGTTATTCCCTTTAGAAAGCCTGGCTCTCGCTTAATGTAGCCTAATTTTTCGTCTGCTGGCCCCTGTGAAATTAATCCTCCTTCTTCTGCAACTTCTCACACTTCCCACTCGTTTCAATCCTTTATTGCTTGTGGCAGCGGCAAATTCTTTTTGTGGGGCTTCTCTTATTAAGAGTCCGCATTGCCATTTTCTCGGCCTTCTGTGCCCATATCTGAATCTTTTTCACTATCTTCGCCGTGATATCGTGTTTTTTTTTTCACGTTATAACGTTCAAGTTTTCTGAGTCGGTGCCCTGGATTTTTATTTTCTTCGAATTATCTTGAATTCTTTTCTTACGAGTTGCCCGTACTTTGAATATGCGTGCCAGTGGTCCAACGCTATCGGCCAGTTCTTCATTATCTTGTTCGTCTGCTAGCTGGTGTAGCTCTTTGCGTGACCGTTTGGGACTCACTTCCCTCTCTTTTAGTATTGAGTTTCGCGATAATGCATCTGGTGGTCCGTTGTTTACGACCGGGTGGTATATAACTTCAAAATCGTATCCTCTCATTTCTGCTTTAAGCCTGTTTAAACGAATGTTTGGTTTTTTAGATGATAGAACGTGCTCATGGTCTGTAATCACCGTAAATTTGCGCCCGTATAAATATAGTCTGAATGGCTCTTTTGCAAATACTATCGCCAATAACTCTTTGTCGTGGGTTGGGTAGCAAAGTTCATTCCCCTTAAAGCAGCGAGACGCGTACTCACATGGTCTATCTTTTCCGATCTTTCCCTGACTGAGGATCGCTCTAATCGCGTAATCTAATGCATCTGTTGTGACGACAAAGGGTTTTTCCAAGTCTGGGGCAACGAGCACTGGTCCACTTCATAGTATTTCGATAAGAGTTCTGAATGCGTTTTCTTCCTTGTCACTCCACGTAAATTTTGTGCCCTTCTTTTATAGCATAGATAGGGGTCCGGCGATCTTTACATGGCCTTTTATTAATCGTCTATAATATCCGGAAAATTCCAAAAATTGTTTTTTCTTTTTTTCGTTTGTAGGACGTGGGTATTTTTTGGCTGCTTTGATCTTCTTAGGATCTGTCTTTATTTGTCCATTACCTACAATATGCCCCAACACCTTTACTTCCCTCTTTAAAAATTGACACTTCTTGGGTTCAATTGTCAAGTTCGTGTCTGCTAATCGTTTCAATAATTTTGTAAATCGGTCCCCATGCTCTTAAAGGTTGGTTGCATAAACCATTATGTTATCAAGATAAACTTCGACCTCATGACCTTGCAAGCCTGCGAGTGCTAGCACAATTGCCCTTAAAAAAGTGTTTGGCGAGTCTTTACACCCCATGGGCATTCTTTTGTATTTGTAATGCCCGTCTGGCCCCAAAAATGCCATTTTGTGCGCGTCATCTTGGTGCATTTCAATTTAAAAAATCCTGAATTGAGATCGACTACTGTAATGTAGCGCGCAGATGCCAGATTTTCTAAAATATCACTTTGAAATGGTAATGGATAGCACGATCTCACCGTGACTTCGTTAAGCAGATGAAAACCTGTGATGACCTTTACCCTTTTTTCGTTGTTTGGCCCCGGTTGTTTTACTATTATCCAAGTGTTTGAGCTGTACGGGGAGGTAGATGGTTATACTATCCACTGCTCCAGCATTTTCTCTAGTTCTGTCTTTATTTGGTCTCTGATTGACGGTGGGTATTGCAACTCTCTTTGCAACTGTTGGTTTATCTGTTATCTTCTTTATCCGATGTTTGACACGATTCATTGCTTTCAGAGGCTCTCCATTCAGGCCAAATACGTAGGGGTTTGACTCGATCAGATTTCTCACATGCTTTATTTCTTCATCGTTGCAACTGGCTGTGTCTACGAGTTGCATTATTCTGTCCACTCGTTTCTGTTTCCCTACCTCCTCTTCATTTATCGAAAAATTTTTTGTTTCTTCTTTATCATCGTTTATTTCTCCATCGAATAACTTTATGACTGCTTCCCCCAAACTTTAAACATTGTCCCCTTTAAATTCTGAGTGTTTCCGGTAAATTAATTCGTAATTTAGCAGCTCTAGTTCCAGAACAGGCACTTATCTTGTCTCATCACTCAAATTAATACATTCTGCAACTATCTTCCCGTTAATACTTCTCGCTATGAAATTCTCAAATAATATTCCCTTCGCCATCTTTTGGAGGGCTATCCAGCCATTTTCTACTTCATTTTTACCCTTTTTTACTCGTGCATAAATAATTTGTTTCGATCTTGCAGGAATTTTAAAACACTCTGGCCTTGACAGTGGTATCTCTACATCTTCTAATTTAATCATATTCTCAGCGGTGCTTATCTGGTCCCAACATCGCTTAAAAGTGTCCCACCCTATGATTCTTTTCGCGTCAATAGGAAAGTTATGGGGGACAATATGTAAGGTGGACTCCAGCTTTTGTAGCTAAGCCTGTACTGTGCCCGATGTTTTGCTTGCTCCGTGAGTCACACCAATAATAGCCACTCGATACCTGCTATCTATTAGCATGTCTGTGCTAAGAAAATTTTCCTTTATAATTAAAATCTCTGCGCCTGTATCCAAATGAAAAGTCGCCTTTCCATTCTTTAACTGTATTCCCCGTAACTGGACCGATGGTGGCATATGCCTTGTTCTCGCAAGTTTTATAGTTTTTTTGGAAAGCTGCTCTATTTCTTTGTCACACTCTGAAAGATTGAGTTCAGCATTCTCTGTACATGTGTCCAACACCCTTGTCCGATTACTCTTTTTGCAGGCTCTCCTCCCTCTTTTTGTGCGTTTGCCCCCCCCCCCCGTTGTCGAGGAGTATTTTCACATTCTGCTTTATAAGCATTAATTAACTTTTTATTTTTTCCTGCACTGAGTTAGTATTCGGACTGTTGTGCGTCTCCGCCTCCACTACTTCTTGCTCCACCTTTTGCGGCTTCTTTCTCGCACCTTTTTCTTTGCCAGACACGCTTTTCCTCGCTTCTCTCTCTCTTTCCAGTTCATGCTTGGCGTTTGGGGATCGCGCCGAACATCCTGCGAGTTTAAAGCAGCCAATCCGTCTCTCCTATTGTCAGGGCCGTATTCGCCGTTTCTTTGCTGCGGTGGGCCCCTATCTTGTGGTGACCCACCAGTATTGCATGCCGCAAACTAAGGTTGCTCTCTATTTTCAGTGCCTCTATGATTGCTTCACAGAGGGTTCTTGGGTTCAAGCATCTGATCTTACATCTGTACGTTGGATGCAAGCCATATGTAAATTGCTTGACCGCCTCAGCTTCTGCGCTTTTTTTTAGAACCTGTTTTTGAATTGGAAACAGGCTCAGATTTGAGTCATGCAGCATTGTTAGCCTATTGTTCTTGTACTCTTCTGGTGTAGTCCTCTATTGATTTTTGGCTTTGCTGCCTGATCATTTTTAGCTGTGCCATCAGCGTGTCCGCGTTATTGATGCTGCCGTATCTCCTCAATGGTTCACCAAGAAATTCCTGGACTGTCCCAAATTGAGCCAGTCTGGGCGCAAAATGTTCGGTTGCATTTCCTTTTAGTCTGAACACAAG